ACTCGGGAGGGGGGAATCCATGGCAAATAATGACATTGTAAAACTGCAGACGGCGAGGCCGGGAGGGCAGGACCGGCCTGTCACTCTCCCGTCACCCGCCGGGCTGTTTTGACACGTTTTGATTGGTCCGCGGAAGCAGGAGGGGCCGCACCTCCTCTTTTCAGCCACCCGGTGGTTTTGTCGCCCGCTCACCTGTCGACGTGAGCTCCGCCGTCCCGTATCTGCTCGCCGGCTCTCTTCTGTCATCTGTTTTTCCTTCCTTCCTTTGTCTTTGTGAGTCTTTTTTTTTAAAGAGCCCTGTTAATTCTGTCTACCACCACGGTGGAAAATGGATTAACAGAAGGAAAAAACACACAGTTGCCGTCCTACGACACGGGACCTCCACCCCATTATGCCTGTTACGTCTGTTCTAACAGCACGTAGAAATGAACTGCCCGTCCTTGTGAATGTGTACAACCTGATGAAGCCATTTCACCCAGCGGAATTACTATTCATTAGGCTTCCGTTACCGTCTCCCCATTCACGCTCCCAATCCTTTCTCCATTTAGGTGTTCCCTTTGCCCTCCCTCTCTCTCGCCTTCTCGCCCCTTCCTCTCCTCCCCGGCGAGCCACGTGCGCGGGAGCCGTCGCATGCGATTGGGTTGCGCTCCGTTACTGCGGCGCGCGGACTTCGCAGCGGAGGTGCGCGCGAGCACGCCGACGCGACAGCCAGCCGGGAGCTCGGCAGACGCCTGTGAATCTCACAGAACTCACAGTTTTGGCAAATTCACTGGCCAACTGTTGCTGGGTTGGTCACGGCGGCGGACGAGTCTCAAAGCTGTTGCAACGTTTTGCCCGAGTGGCTCTGCGAATCGCGCCAGGAGCTGTATCCCTGTTTTCAGTACACCGCCACATATTCGCTCGCTTTTACAGGTTTGCGTGTCTTTCATTGCTGTTACTGATTTGCGCCTCCATTGTCAGCAGTGTGCATGAGACGAGCAGTTAGGAGATGACTGGTTAGTCTCATCGATCACATTATTATTATTATAACATATATATTGTTTGGGAGGCTTCGCGGTTACATACATTGTAACCCAAAGCCAGCTGTCACAATCTCCTCCCAGAAGCCTTTGCAGGAAGGGGTTACAGGGAAAGGCCACCGCAACCCATTGAGAGACCTTCAAGGATCTCGCTTGTGGCTGTGTGCGTTTATGCGAATGGGTGCTGTTTGTGTGTGTGTGTGTGTGTGTGTGTGTGTGTGTGTGTGTGAGTTATATTTAGAACAATTCCCCCTGACTGGCAGGTGTTGGTTGGGACGACCTGCTGAGGCCCCTCACTGTTGCATGCTGGGTGCTCGCATCGCCTCTGGCTGGAGAAACTGGCAGGTGGATTTGATTGTTTTGAACACAGCGCCGGTGGATGGAGGCCTGGGTGGACACGAAAGGAAGGAATACACAAATAAAGCCTCACCGCGTTTCCTGTGGGCCCTTTGGGAGCAATGGGCGACATGGTTTGACATTTCCAGCAGCAATGAGTAACGTTTGCTTCGGACGGCGCGGCGCTCGCTCACGCGTCCTAGCGCGTATACGCACACCTACAGAGACAGAGGCTACCGTCGCCAGGCGCCGGGGGCACAATGCGCATTCCGTGACTAAGTTGATTTATAGGGTCGGGCACCAGAGCTGATGCGTGAGCGGGCGGGCGGGCGGCTCGGTTTACGCGTCCAATCAGCCTCTGAAAACAAACGTGAAAAAGCTGTGCGGGAACGGCAAGAATGCAATGAAACTACCTCCATTATGCAAGAAAAGTTTGCGAGCTCACTTAAAATAGATTTAGCTTCTGTCGAGAAGGAGGCGACTTGGTTAATTGGTTATGGCCTTCTGGCGAATGAGTTCTGACGTAGCAAACCTCCAACGAGGGATCAGCTGTTCCTGCTGCCTTCTTCTGGGAGACGGAGACCTCGACCATCGGATGAGCACAAACGACAGTCGTCTTCCTCCCGGGGAGTAGGAATCCTTTGTGTTCGTTTAGACCATTTTGCTGCGACTGCGGCGCCATTAAGTGTTTTAAAAAGGCGCAGAGAGGCTGATTTTGAGATTTAGACGCCTGAACCGATCCGAGATGATTATTAGCTGCATTGGAGTTCCGGGCTCAAAGTGATAATCAGCTCGCTGTTCACTTCGTAACAGAATTGGACCACAACGCGGTCGGCGGTTTTAACGAGGGGAGAACTAAGCGCAACCTCTTTAGAAGGCGAAACGAATGTGTGTTTAGAGATTCTTCGCATGCGAGTGCGTTGCAATTATTATAAAAGGAAATCCTGCTGCCGCTCGGGTTGAAGCGCTCCGGGTTGCAATAAGGAAGTGCACCTGCTTTCTAAGCCCCCCCCCCCCAGATGTGTCCCATCTGTACAACTTCTTCCCCTCCTCCCTGTCGATCACTCTCTTCAGGCTACAGTCTATAATGAGCATTTCCTCCTAGACCCCCTCCCCCCTCCTCACCTCCCCGCCACCTATTCTCTCACTCCCCCCCCCCCCCCTTTCCTGTCCTCCCCTTCTCACTGTGTGCAGAATTGGAGAAACTTATCGCCTAACAACCCCAATTAAAGTACAACAAGTCAGCAGCAGCAGCAGCCGCGTCGTTGTGAGCTGCACAAACCTCCGTGTGACCAGCCTTCTTCAGGCAGCGAGGAGGAGGAGGAGGAGGGAGGAAGAGAAGCGGAGAAATCGAGCGAGCTGGACGGGGAGGGAGGGGAAAAACGCAGCCGGGGGAGTTGAAGCCGGACAGGTGAACAGCAATTAGAGCCGCGGTGAGGACTCTGGGATTTGGAAACGAGAGAGAGAGACGAGGAAAATGCGGGGAGAGCGGAGCAGCGAGGCGACAGGTATGCAGGAATGAATGGACTCAAAGTGAAGGTATGCCGCACATTTCTCTGCGTATTACTGCTCCCGTAGTTGTTTTTTCTCTTCTTTTCTTTGCTCGTTAATGTTCATTGGAAGATAAGTTGGATCGGAGGCATTTTGCACGGATGCATCACATATTGATGACACACAGCGCTGAGCGAACGCTGTCAAGGTATTCATTCAAACCGCACTGAGGAAGATGGAGACTGACGCCTGTGAATTGTCTCCATTATTATTATCAGAGTCATATGATCTCTGCCGTATGGAATGTTTTGTGATTTACTTAACGTGCGTGATCATCATTGGGATAATTGACCCAGGTGTCTAACAGATGTCAGGTGGGATTCTCCTGCTGCCACTGGCATAGAAACGTGTTGTCTTTCGGCTCGGAGGGATTTAAAGAAAATGATGATCAGCTTCGGCTGTTTGTTCTGATACGAAATGTTCCCCTCATTTCTTCTGCGATTGTTAGCGATGCTTCCACGTGGACAGACGTGTGTGTGGGAGAGGGCGCGGGTTCCAAGTTAAAGTAATGACAGGCCAAATGTCTAATATTGTTCACATATTATATATATTATATTATATATGAGGCTATTGTGCACACTCGCCGCCATGCGGCCGTCACTGCAGCCTAAAAGGTGGCGCTGAAATCGAGCTCCTACGCCTCCCCCCCCTCGCCCTCCCGCAGACCTGTCTTTCAAACGAAGGACACCCACCCGCTCTCGTCCCCGTGGCAGAGAGACCCCGCCTGAGGGCACAGCGGGGGAGCGGGGAGGTGAAAGGTCAGTGGTTCTGTACGCTGTCCCCACGGGGAGGACAGCGCTCGATCGCACAGAGATGTCAATCGCTGGTCCAACTGTCTCTGCACTGCGCACGCACGCACACACAAACACACACAGACGTTCCGTTTGCGATTCAAAGGGAGGCCGCGCTCCCTCACTCAACGTGGCGCTCCAACGCTTTGCTGCAGGGTCACATGACAAAAAAGGAGCTGGCACCAAAGTGACCCACGGAGGCCCGCTGCCGACCCCGAGCAGCGCCTCGGAGGAGTCAGTGGTCATTGAAGGTCTCTGAACACGTCCAGACCTTTTACCGACATCTCACAAAGGGCCTCGGGTTCAAAACCAGACCCAATGCATGCTGGGAGCATCTTTGTTCGGTGTCAGTGAACATATTCACATCAGAACACTTTGTATTGTGTTTCATTCTTAGTTTGTTCCCTTTATCAGAGAAACAAATTCACCTTCTTGCCGAAGGAAGAAAAATGCAAAACAGAAACACAATTTCACTCCAAAAATGTCTCCAGCCCCGAGGCCAGCTGTGTGTGTGTGTGTGTGTGTGTGTGTGTGTGTGTGTGTGTGTGTGTGTGTGTGTGCGTGCGCGCTGCTGTCTGTCTCAGCACGTGTCACCGCTGAGGGCTCCACACTCCGGAAGAACAAGCACACAGCGGGGGGGGGGTACGGTGTGTGTGTCTGTGCGCTATGCAGGTGTGTGTTGTGTGTCAGCGGGTGGTCTCTGCCTGTGTGCCTAATACGTCGGCTCCGCCGGAGGGAAAGTGTCCCCCGTCGAGCCGCGATGGCCGAAAGGTGTCCTTCGTGCATGTGGAGTTCTGCATCTGGAACACCGTGGTCTTCGTCATCAGTCCGGGTCGCCGTGATGGTCTCGCCTCCCCCCACATACCTGCACATGCGTGCGAGTCCACTGGATCAAGGTCATTACCCCACGTGATTGGCTCTCAAAGGGTCGCATTGATCACATGATCGGTGTTCCCGTATCAGTGGGCCTGTTGAGACGCACATAAACCAAACCGAGTCACGGAGGAGGAGCAGATACCCCTTTCTTTGTGTTGGGGTTGTCTTTGAGGTTAACTCATGTGCTGGTTCTTTGATTGGCGGCAAATGGATGCTTTTTGTCACGAGCATGAACGTGAGGAACATGAGGGCATACGCTCGCTCGGTGTCACGATACAGATGAGCAGGAAGCTCTGGACGCGGGGAACGTGGAGGGAAGCCGAGCATCGTTCATCTGTGCATCCCCACCACCCCCACCACCACCCCCAACCCCCCCCTGCCTCGGGTGCTGGTTGTGATATGTCTGTTTTTCTTCTCTTATTTCCAGAGTCTGGGCTCCGCTGACCGAAAGGAGAATCAGCACAAGAAGTAAGTCCTTCCATTCCTCTTTAGAAAACAAACACGCAATCTTTTTTCACTTGAACTCTTTCCCAACACTAACTGGTTGACCTTTGTCTTTCTTCCTGTGTCAGAGTGAGCTGTATGTTTGGTGCCTCACAGTTTGTCCTCACTGTCCTTGACAGCGGGAACATGTGCTACATCACATGCGATGTGTCTGCTAGGAAGGGAGGGATCTAACCTCGCCAGGAGACTTGAGTCGTACAGTTAGCGCTCAATGTCATGTGACACAAGTCTTCCCCATAAAGAGGGAGGGCGGGGAAGAGAAGCGTGTTGTGCACAGCCACACACCACATGTTGTAATGGTGGAACAGGTGAATATGCATCCGTGAACAGATACAGCAGGCTAGATGAAAATAAAGGGTGCAGACACATGGATGTGTCATGTGTTTCATCTCAAAATGATCATTAGCCCTGAAGAATTTCTTCCACAGCTTAAATGTGAGTCTGTGCACTCAGCGGGACTGCGTACTCATTAGTACGCAATCTTTAATATCCCATCTGTATTGTCTCTTCCTCCACCACATTAACCACTTGGTTTTAACTGTTATGGCCTTCAAAACTAATGATCTACGCCGATAACATTTAGTCTCAGAGTGTCAACAGAACGATTGGGGATAATCAAACGGATTCCACAGTTAGTCATTCTGTACAGCTCAGTGCAGGTCAATAATTGCTCATTTCCAATACAGGAATGTATCGGCCATCTTCCCTTCCTTCGTTCTCTCAGCCTCGGTTAGCGTTCCTCTGGATGGAGATCATTATGCGTGCCGTCTTTTTTGGCGCAACTCTCTTTTTTTACGCGCAGCTACTCACTAGACCTTCGACTCGTGGTTCAGACTCCCTCTCTCGGGCTTAATACCGAGTATTCTTTGAGGTCTTATCTTATTTACTTCATGCACAACAAGGTCAGCTTCCTACACAGAACATCCAGAGAATAACTGCGGATGGAAAGTGCCGCGTGATGTGGTTGGTGTAGGTTTATAATCAGTAATTCTAGTTCACTCTACCTTTTAAAACGGTCAAGTTTCATCAATCAATCAATCAATAAAGGTGATATTATTTTAAATATTACATTTTACATTTATTCAAGAAGAGGAGGAATGCATCCGCCATCTTCAACATCCAATATGAAGAGTTTTTCAAAGTGCTTTGCTGTCTTGTGGAGGACATCTGGTGTTGAAGGCGACACAGCCGACCCTCGCGACCCCCGTCGTACACGCTCAATCCGCCTCGCTCTTTCCACCCTTGGAGACCCGGCTGTGACAGCCACCGCGTTTCCCCCCCGTCAGCCGCGGGGCTTCTGCTGCCGGAGCTGGCTGCCCGTTGCCGTGGTTACGGGTGACACAGGAGCCGAAGCTCAGCAGCATTTAATTAATGGCCACATCAGGCGTTTCGTTCTGCGTACAGTACACAAAGTCCTTAATGGGGCCGGGCAAACACGGCGGCTGGCGTCCGGGATCAGAGGGCCTGAGATGAGAGAGGAGGAGAGAAAAGGGAAAAGAGTCCACCGACGAGCAGCTCATCCGCCGACCACGAGTAAACGTGCACAGATGCCGATGAGCATTTACATTTTCATCCTGCAGTCCACTCACTTTTCTATGGCTGCTGTCCGAATTATTAAACCCTTTACAGTGGATTCAAAGTATCCCACAATGCATCGTGAGGTGTGATGGAAAACCATTGGTCGCCCACAGAGGATCACATACCTTCAGCCATCGCGCTGAAGGAGAAGAGAGGAGACGAGGAGCAGCGGGACTGACATGGATGCAGAGTGCTGGCGCAATAATACTGTTTCTCATGTGAGCAGAGCAGCACATTGTTGCTCTGTCTGCACGAATTTGGGATAATCGGTATTCAGCTGAAAGGTTTTAGTTTTTTTGGTTTAGTTGACTCTTCTCCATAGAACTCTGGATGGTGGACGGGAGGAAGGAGGAAGTCCATCACTTAGAACTCATGTCAGAAGCGAAGAGGCGCGGCTCCACCGTCTTGGAGGAGTTTGCTGACCTTCAGGCCGATTCAGACTTTGTCAGGAACGTTGTCAGGAAAACAGACCTTCTGCTGCAGTTTGAAGGGCCGCTGCATCCCTGTGTGAGACGGCCTGTGGGTCGGGGGGGGGGGGGGGGAGAGGAGGGCGGCGATCTGAAGCGCGTGAAACACATTCCTTCTTCTTTCCAGAGTTTTTTTTTCTCTGCTTGCCTCACTTTTTTCACAGGGTTTTGAAATCACAGTGTAATTACATATTGAGGAGTATTTACAATAGTGGTAATGGTGGTAGGAGAGGGCTCCTGGCTGAGTGTGTGACTGTGTACAGTTCATCCGCCTGCGTGTGTGTGTGTGTGCGTGTGTGTGTGTGTGTGTGTTTGCACACGTGTTCTCAACAGCAAAGTGTGTTCTGTTGATCCAGTGTGCCTTTCACAAATATGAATTATAAATAATCGTGTGAATATTGGTGACATTTATGCGCTCTGTGTGTGTGTGTTTTGTGTGTGTGTGTGTGTGTGTGTGTGTGTGTGTGTGTGTGTGTGTGTGTGTGTGCTTATTTGATGTGGCTTGGCAGCAGCAACGTTGGGTTTTTTGAGAACTCCCCAAGAGAAGGCTGCCAGGCCAAAGCACGGAGCGGGCAGAGACAGACATTGTTTTAGTAAGGCATCCCGGCCATGATTGTGTGTGTGTGTGTGTGTGTGTGTGTGAGAGAGATTAAATGCAAAAGAAAGAAGCCAGCTTAATTTGGAGTAGTTGTTATGCTCTCTGCTGTTCCAGCAATGCACAGCCTTTTCCATTCTGGCTTTAGATACAGAAAACACACACGCGCACACAACACAGGCGGCGACAATGCGACATACCAACACTCCGTCCTCCCCGCGGAACTACTTACAGGGAGTTCCGTCGATTATGTTGCTCAACAAGTTGAATCCTTTTCCGATCATCTCCCTCCACGTTTGAAACCACACGTCGAAATTCGATCGGTGGTCCCAGAAGCAGCCCACCGCGTTGGACGCTCGGAGTCAGCAGTGGTCCAAATGTGATTTCAGGATTAATCTTCTTTTGGTGCAAACAAGCCGACTCAGCATTTCAACCGCAATAACCATTAAACGGCCACCGAAGGACACTTTGAATTCAAGCTAACCATTTTTTTTTTTCCCCTCACTCGGCGACCCCACAGAGTTCTCCCTCGCTTCACCTCACAGCAAAATGTCACTGGCTTGCTGCTCAGGCGGAAGCGCGGTGGCGGCCCGGCTCCCCGCCGCGCTTTCTGATTTCCAGGAAAACAGGAGCCCCGTGGAACCAGAGGCCAGTGGGATGGATTCTCTGCATCTCCCACGCTGCCGACAGGGAAGAACGATTTTTTACGCCGTAGTTAAGCGCTTCCTCAAACGTGTGAACCGCAGTGCGATCCGGGCCGGGCGGTGGACGCCCCGTCGCTCAGATCCATCGCCGACCATCGCCTGCCCGGCCCACGTCTCGCCGTCGCTCTCAGAGCGCCGTTGGTCCGTGTGGATGGTGTGTTTGTGTTTGCCACCTTTGCCCGACGCTCCCCTCCTCTTCGCCTTCGCCCTTCCTCGGTGACTCAAACCCAGAAACCCGAAGCCCTCTAACGGGGGCGACCGGCTCGTGCTCAGCCACTCGACTCTTTAAGATCTCACAGATGCAGAAACACAAGAAACCTCTCCCTCCCCGAGGTTCCCTTGTCCTTTCCAGCATAAATAATCCCCTCAGTCTGCTGGCAAGACCCTGATTGGAATCTCGACGCCGTGCTCAATTGTGGGTTGATGGGGGGAAAGTGCGTCGCCCTTTTTCTGTGTGTGTGTGTGCGTGTTTAAAGCAGTTTCAAGACCATAAACAGAATACCAGACTGATGTCTACCTCCATCAGGCCTCTGAGAGCTCTGAGCAGAAAGTCAGCCTGGCGGATCCACAAGCAGCGACTCACCTTTCAGACTCATTCACTTAAACTCCAGCGTGTTTACAGAACGCTGCAAAGAGAGATGAACTCAGCCTGGAATAACATGCACGCTCTATTCTCCATTCACCGTTTAGCTGCCGATACAAGCGGCGCGTTGAGGTCCAGGCTCCGCGGGGTATTAACAGCTTCTCTCTGTCCTACAGGAGACCAGCCGGAGTCTTATGTGGAGTTTTATGTGGAGAGTTATGGGATTTTGTGCGGAATTATTAATGGGCCTCAATGTCAACAGATGTCTGACTGTCAGATGAGTCCAGCTCTCCAGAGACTCTCCTCTTGTCTTTCCTGGGTGACGCACTAATGCTTCTGCTCACCTTGGATCTGGGCTGTGAGCGAGCAGCGCCTTCCTGTAGGTGTGGCACGTTGCTCACGCGCGTCCGCCGGCGTGCACGCACACCCACACACACGCTGTGGCGTGCTGAATTGGGTGTTACCACATCTGTCCGATTAAATGACCCCGGATCAGTGTCCTCCAAATCGCATTATCGTCTCATCGACACCAAAACCCAGAGCGAGTGGAAAGAGAGAGCCGCTCGCTTCGCTCCGGGCCGCCGCCGCCGCCGCACTCCAACGGTTCGCTGGCTCCCGCGCGCCTGTCAGCTTCGCTCAGGGAGAATTTGACTGCAGATCCATCATCTGAATGCGTCTCACTGAGTTGAGTCAGCCTTGTGGCAAACATCAAACGCAGGATGGGGACCAAAAGGGGCGGGTGGGGGGGGCTATCGAGCCCGACACCGCGGGGAGCCAACCCAAAGTGAATAAAAAAGGCATTGAATTCCTCCCTCGGTTTTGTCTCCCCGAGAAGTTCTCTTTGTGCCGATTCGGTGGAAAACGGGATTGAGCGGCGTAATGAAAGGGAGCAGCGAGAGAAGATGAAAGCGTGACTCAGAGACGTGCAAACGGGGTGGAAATGTGTGCGTGTTTGCCGCGGCGGGTGGATGGGCAGCATGTGACATTGTGTTGCGTGGGGTTGATAACAGAGTCGCGTTAAGATCAGATCATTAGCA